TCCTACAGTAAGAATATGTAGTTCAATTTTCTAGGCATCTTTTTAATGGGTCGGCTAGGTAAAAAATGTTCGGAATTGTTATATGAATGCATAAACAATCGATACTTTGTAAATGTATAGGTGTTTATATGCAAATTTGTATGAAATACAAATGTCTTGAAATAAAAAATGAATTCATTGGAGTGGAGGGTGGGGAATGGGGAAGTCCATATTTTTCCATCCTCCTAAATACCGATTTTTGCTCGTCGTTAAACTAATATTATGTCTAAGACGGCTTTGTCGATTATTTGACCCAGCGATTTTTACCAACTATGCCATTTTTGATTATCACCACGTATAAATAGATAAGCCTTGCGTTTTATTAGCTAAAAACAGTTTTATATTAAATCCAAAACAAATATGGTTTATCCGAAACGCGTTCCTTTTATTTTCGCTTAAAGGTATTTTCCCATTACAACTTCAGCTCAAACTTTAACTGCATTTCAATTAAGGACTTTCTTCGTATAAAAAACGCTATCATTTTTTGTTTTAGAACCCCACTCCATTTCTTTTCTTGGCAATCAATCAAGAAATGTACGGCTTTTTCATACTCTACCTGGACTTTTCTACGACTATTATTTTGATCGTTGGTACCGTTGACTGAAATATTAGGTCTATAATGATATTTTAATGCCAACGGCGTTCTATGAAATACAAATTCTAAGCTTTTTATTTATAGAAGTTACTTCTAGTTATGGAATAAATAGATGTTTCCGCATTTTTTGTTATTTTTAATTTTCATATCCAAAAAAATCTCTCATCTCTGGTGTTATTATTTTAAGTTTGCCCCTATATCTTCGAATGTGATTGTGCATTATTTATTTTCTTAATGATCCTTTCGAGCACATTTGCAACCAAAGGTATAGAAAAAGTTCGAATACATTCATTTTCAGATGCAGTGCATTTACATATTTCCTATTAAATTTATTTTAAGTACTTACACAGTTGATTTGTCGAAGATCTTAAGAAAGTTCTTATTCCGGTCTTTTAAAAATGATTTTCAAGTTCACAAAATTGTGCAGTTTAAAAATGCTTGGTTTGGCATCCCGATCACGGTTATTTTTCTTTCATTACAAACTGCCGACATATTTTCGGTGTCTGGGTGATGCCACGTCTGCTACGTGATTGCCATGGAAGTTCGTACGCTAAAATCACAAGCTATTTAAACACGTTCCACATATACTGCAGTGCAAAATAAAATTAGAAGTCTAACTTCTTCAGAAATCCATGCATTTTTCTCAACTGTCTTGTTGAGAACAAGGCAGGGCAATTGGATGGGAAGAGGATCAAGTTCATTGCCGAAATAATAATAATACAATTTCCTTAAACAGCAACAAAGACATGGCAAACATTTTTCCTTTCAGCTTATCCAGCAAATGTTCCTTTTTGTTGCAGAATGGAAAACGTTAAGGTTTGCATACATAAGCAGTTCATGGCTTAAGAGGAACCCTTTGACTTATCATAGGGATTTTCGCAATCGTACCGAATTTTCGTGTGTTATTTGTAAATGATTGCTTTGTGGATAAGATTGTTATGTTTTGTCGTCTTGGGAGAACTTGGGTTTAGGCGTATTTATCACCGAAATTGTGCTTAACAAAATGAAAACCAAAATTAGAAGACAATGGTAGAAAAGTACTGCTCTTTTCTCACTGGCAGTTGTTCGCTTTCGGAATTACTTACATGAATATTTGTTTCCAGGGATTTGAAATAAATATTTCTAACATGTAATTGGCGTTGTCAATTTCTAGGTACGAGGGAGGTTTTTTCTCCCCCAGTAGAAAATAACTTAAGTTTTCTTTTCCACTTGTACTCCAATCCAATCGATTGGAACAATATTTAGCTGTGTTTTTCATTTTTTCCTAATATGTCTCTCAAATTTTGCTGTCTGCTCCATTTTTAAATTGTTTGGAGAACAATGAAAGAGAAGAACCAAAAACGGTAACATTTTTAAAGGATAAGGAGCACGAAATAATTTAAGTTATGTAATGAACATTCTGCAGGTAGCAGACAAGAGGCACTGCCATTTAGAAAAAATAAATAATGCTCCACCAGGAAATCGCTTTTCTTTGGAGTCGAAAAAATTAAACTATTCCACTAAATAAAGGCATTGAGATAGAAGTAGCATCTTTGTAGCTACAAACAACTAAATTTGTATTGATATTCTTCCTTTGAAATTTTGATAAAAAGTTAATAAACATGAAGTCTCATTAGAGAACTTAAAATATATGCCAATATCAATACAAACTTTTCAGGTTTTTCTTAATTTGTACCATTTGGTTCTATTTTTGGTACCATTTGTACCTTATTTTTCATAATGAGTGTTTATTTATTTTATATTAATTGTCGTTTATTTATACCATTATTACCTTTTGAACTAACAAACCAGTTAGTTCGGTCTGGCCGAACTTTGAATACCCCATACCAAATAGAGCGAATTTGGAAATTTTCAAGAAAAACAATTCCGTTATTAATTCTGTTAAGATTTTAAGGATTCGGAATATTGGGAGTTACCGTTATATTAGAGACTTCAAATACCAAATTCTAAATAATTCCGGTGAGTAATGCGGTGGTAAATTATTATGGGGGCTATACCTAAACGTGGACCATTTTCAATGCCAAAAGTCCTGCAGACCAAACACACATTTAAATAAAATTTTATGAACCTACTTCAACGCGTTCGGTAGCTAGAGTGATTTCCACAGATGGACAGACAGACAGACGGTCGGACATAGCTAAATCGACGAATTTTATGCTGATCAAGAGTATATTTATATATACTTTGTGGGGTCTAAAATGTATATTTTAAGGTATTACTAACGGAACGACAAACTTAATATACCCTCCATGGTATGGTGGAGGGTATTAACAAATAAATCAGTGAACAGAAAATTGTGTTTGAATGCAAGAGAAAATACCATTTGCTTCTTCTTCTAAAATATTAATAAGGATTTTAGAATGTATGTTTTTATTCATGTTTTGAAATATTACAATTATTTTTTTTTCTACAAATATTTTCATTTGTTAGGAATTGATAGGTAATTATGAATCGAATACCAATTAAAATCGTTATTCGCTAAAAGAAGGTTGGATGGGGTACGAAGTAGTTAAATCACAATTAAAAGGGAATCAATGACCACGCACCATATGAGCATAAAGATTTGAAGAATTAACTTTTTTCGTATCAATTCATGGCAATAGACAAGAATACAATTCTATTCCCTGAATGTAGCTTAGATTTTATTTGGAGACATCCTGTACAATATCTCGAGAGAAATTTTCTATTTTCCGATAGAAGATATACAGCAATTTAATGTTTGAATCATCAGAAAGCGTGCATTAAAAACCAAATCCCTTGTAAGCTTATCATTACACACCTCAAAGAAACTTTTTTCCCAACTTCCTCCTCTCCATCAATTCTCTTTATTCAAATACTTGTGACAAAGTGTAGATGACATGGCATAAAAAGCATTTTGACGTACCCCCTCGTCTTGCAGGAGTTGGGAATCCTCCCCTCCCCGGCTTTTAGAAAACTTGCTGCTCTCTTAAATCAACATTTGTACAGAAAGACAGAAAACATTAGTGTCGGCATTTATTTTGCAGCGAAACAAAAAATACTTTTCACATCTTTACTTCTTTGTTATTTCTCTCTTCTATCGCTTCATTCGTCTTGCAACAAAACGAAATAAAGAAGCAATGTTGACTTTGAACACTTTTCCACTTCGTCGAGTTTTTTCGCCATGGAGAAAAAGAACAAAAGTGTAGATATTTTTTGCAGTTTTTTACAATTGCAATTTGTAAAGGAAAAGTTTTAAAACCTGTCCCAATCATTTGAAAAGTGTGTGAATAGAACAAAATTGTTTAAAGGACTATTTTTTTGCCTAACAACGTTCTCCATTAAAAGAAATTATTTGTTTCGAATAACTTTTCGATTCGTTGTCAACTCGCTTTTAATTCCCGCAAAGTTTTCATGGTTTTTACGTTGTTGTTTTTATTGCTATTATTAATATTTTGCTTTTAAGTAATCGGAACAACGCCTTCCCTTTTGAGGCCGTTTTAAACAGTTTTACAGGAACTTTTATTTAAATGAAAACAAAATTCGAGTAATACCCGAATGCTGATCAAGTCCAAATACATATGAAAATTAAATTGAATGCCCTCATAAAAAAATAATGTCAAAATACAGTCTTTCTAATAATTGTAGCTCAAAAAACTAATGTGTTCAAGACGATGGTGTATTTTAGAAATGGCTACTTACTGTTGTGGGGCATAAGCCATAAGCCTTGGAAATGCAGTATTTAAAAAACAACGAGTGATGTAACAGGACAACAAATAATTGTCGAGTAACTTTGCAGACCTAGATTTGGCAACGTTGCTCATCGTTTCTACTTTTTTTCGTGATCCTGTTAGGTCTAGATTTGGTAGCCATAAATGGCAAGACGAAGTTTTATCGCTTGAAAGTGGTGCTGATGAAAAAACAAGGATACAAAAAAATTACGACAAATAACAAAATGGAAAGATAGAATTGTCAAAATAAGTTTTGTATTTGAGGCACTTTTTGCCACCTAGAGCTCAGATGTGGCAAGGTTTGCACATTGGAATTTGAAAAAGTTAAAGCCGAATTTTCTATTTTTATGCATTTAATTGACATCGTTTTTTTATTTTTCAAAATATCTTGAATTCGTTTTTGAGATGCAATTTTGTGCTCGTAATTTGTTGTTGTTTGGTCTTTATTTGTGTAATGGTAAATGTATTGCATTACTTGCAATTTAAATGTATATATATGGAAGCAATTATTTTTATACATATATACCCCGCATTATTCCGGATAAGGTCTTTATTACGAAAATTTAAATTATTTAAATTAAACTAATTAATTCCTGATTGAAGAAATTAAAATCGATTTCCTTAATTTTAGACTTTACTCTTTATTTAGGTTTTACTAAAATATAACATAGACTTACCATTTGCTGCTGATTTTTGGGCTTCTTGTGAAGATCCGGTACTTTAAACGAAGTGACCGCCTCAATCACCTCGGCCAATAGTAGGCCATCGCGACAGTCAGCAGACAAATCGGTTACTTTTTTCTTAGATTTGGCGCGTTCTAGATAGTAGTTTGCCCAATCGGTGTAGATCTGAAATGGGAAACAGAAATCACATTTACATTTTAATAAAACTTGTTTTATAATTCGAAATAATTCGAAAAGAGAAAACTAATATTTTGAAAAAATATATGTATTTTATGGTGTTAAGTTAATAAAAATGTGGACATTATTGGGGATTGTTCTATCCTTCTTCTCGCTAATTTACCAAGCAATTACATTTTATTGAAAATAAACATTTGTTTTGCATTCGACAGTTATTCTGCTGTAATGGCCGAAATTAGTTTTGGCACCATATGCTCTTGTTCCTGGCCTGCAATATACAGACACAGCTCCCATTATAAACGTCGTTAGAAAATTCATTAAAATCCTTTGCAGCTATTAGAAAATCATTAGTGATGGATGTGGGGACGTGGTAGAAGGAGGTTCGTACTGCCCTTAAGAGAACATACTCAAACACCATTCTAAGAATATTGGCTATAAGTTAAAATATAAAAGTTCAAAGTTCAAAATTATGTGTGTCTGAATATGCAGTGTTGCTCGAAACATTTGCAACTACTGAACATAATCGAAACGGTTTTTGCCAATATTCGTGTAACCAACACAACCGGTTATTAGCGCTGGTTAACTGACTCAAAAAAAAAAAAATAGTATTGCAAAAGTAATCTTGAAATAAACAATTGGCACACTTGAACGCATATTACTTGAATCGATGCAAAGGGTTCAAGAGAATTTCCCAATCAAAACTTTTTGAAAAGAAGTTCTAATTCCAGACAACTTCACATTGCAGAGATACAAAAAGTCGAAAAAATGTAAAAGCTACTTGAATTTAATTTGCAGATGTGTATAATTATTTCATTTTTCTCAAACAAAGTATTCTAGATTTATGTGGGTTAAAGCTTTGCAATTTTAGAAGAATGTTTACACAAACCTTGGCGTAGTCGGCGATGTTGTCGCAGGATCCTTGGTGACTGACACATCGACCCAACATGTCGATGGCTTGTTGAAATTTTATTTCAATTTAACTTCGAATAACTATGTTTCACATTTAGTTTAACAAATTGCTTGTAACTTTGTTTTTATGTAATTTATTTTTATTTAAAATTTCCTAACCTACAAAATGTATTAACAATGCTTTTTGTATTATTTTCAGAAATTATAAAAGGTAAGTTTTACTAACACAACAGCATATTTTGTTTAGTAAAATTGTGTGCATAAAAAAACTTTTATGAAATCGGAAGAAATGTCACAATTCACGATCTTTAGTAAATCTTTAATAAAGCCGTCAGATATCACGAATTTAAGAAGAAACAAGTAAAAAAACATTAATTTCGGCCGGGCCAAACTTTTAATACCCTCCACCTTAGGGTAAAAGAAACATTAGAAGAAATGTGGCAAAAACCATTAAAATTCCGAATATTGGGAGGTACCGTTATATGGGGGCTACACCAAAAGGTGGACCTATAATTACAATGTTTTGCCACACGAACTAGAACCCATTATGACCCACAAATACCAATTTTTAGACAAATCAGTGAAAAAATGTGGCAAAAACCATCAAAATACCGAATATCGGGAGGTACCGTTATAAGGGGGCTTTACCAAAACGTGGACCTACACATGCAATGTTTTGCCACACGCTCAGGGACCTATTATGACCCACAAATACCAATTTTTAGACAAATCAGTGAACAAATGTGGCAAAAACCATCAAAATACCGAATATCGGGAGGTACCGTTATATGGGGGCTATACCAAATCATGGGCCCATACATGCAATGTTTCGCCACCGGAGCTGGAAACCATTATGACCCACATATACCAATTTTTAGACAAATCCGTGAAAAAATGTGGCAAAAAAAAAAAAATAAAATACCGAATATCGGGAGGTACCTTTATATGGGGGCTATACCACAACGTGGACCTATACATGCAATGTTTTGCCACACGCTCAGGGACCCGTTATGACCTACAAATACCAATTTTCAGACAAATCCGTGAAAAAATGTGGCATAAATCATCAAAATACCGAATATCGGAAGGTACCGTTACATGGGGACTATACCAGAACGTGGACCGATATATCTCATTTTCAATATCAACCATCCTAGACACAATGCAAATAGCTCTGCTAAATTTTGGCCCTCTACGTCAAATAATGTGGGCTGTATCGTGATTTCAACAGACAGACAGACAGACGGACATCGTTAAATCGACTTTATGGGGTCTAAGACGAATATTTAAGGATGTTACAAACGGAATGACAAAGTTAATATACCCTCCTTTCCAAGGTGGAGGGTATAAAAACAGGTAAACAAGAACTTTAAAGGAAAAGGTATCGGATTTCACAAATGAAACAAGTTACATTTTAAAATGAAACAGCCCACGACCTCGTTTGGAGAACGCAGCCAAAGTCTTTAAAATATTAAGTTGTTGTCTACCCAATAAAAAATATTTTCATTGAAAAAATGTTGTGAAAGTCGTCAAAATTCCGAATATCTGGAGGAACTGCTATATCGGGGCTATGGGAAAACCATAATCTATATAAGTAAAGTTTTGCCATAGAAGATTACACATATTGCAAACTCTAAATGCCAAAATTTAAACAAATGTGGCTTAAATCGCTAAATTCCAGAATATCGGGTACTGTTACATGGAAGCTGTAGGAAAACGAACATTTAGACAATGTTGCGCCAACACAAGTAGATCACTTTATGAACTCTACATCCCAAATTTTAAATCAATCCCCTGAGAAATGAGACTTACAAAAGACACCTCTGTGCAAAATCTCATTTTAGTATCACTAGTCGTTTGGACTATAGCGCGATTACCACAGAACAGACGGACGTGTCGAGATGTGGTATTGAAGATGGTTAAGTGGACGGAAATATGATACCAAAACGTTTAAACAAACGCTACAATTGATCGCATACAACAATCGAAAAGATGGCAACATGGACATTTGTTGATCTAAAAATTCAATTCAAAATACTCTTTTTAATTTTTTTCTGCCTTTTAAGCTATTTTTAGTGTCAACTAAACGCTAGAAGTTGGAACTAAGAAACAATTAATTATTTCAGATTTGAATTGCGTCTACGCCTAGTAGAAAGATAGCATTAATTCTTTTTCTGAAATCGCAATGCGTTGAATTATTTGTGTAAGCAGAGAACTCGTTTTCATTGTAGAAAAGCCCTCTATCAGAAGCATTGTACCATTGCCACCTTCAAGAAACCGCCCTCTTGGCAATTCACGAGGAAACGTATTCGTCCTGGGATTTGCCCCTTATCTAACGAATAATACTTCGTCAATCGGCCGAAAGGCAAAGTGGGCGAGAACCCTTTTGCTGCTTTTGTTGTTCGACGATAAGGCGTTTTGCAAGACATTCCGTTAGGCGTACGTGGCAACGCCTGCCAGGCTAATTGAAAAACTCGCAATACCAAGACTGTCCTAAATAACTGTCCGGTTAATGATTCCGGTGGTGTGGGTGCCATCAACTTTAGGTTAAACACGTCAAACAACAGGTCTTCCCCTTTCATTTGGCTGGCCGTTCAAAGCTTTTTGCATAATTGCTAAGTTTCTCTGAATGGTATTGTTCCATTGCTTCAGCAGTAGTTCACCCTTGTCATCGGAGATTTCATTGTGGCCATTTATCACTGCTCCCGGATTTTAAATGCGACTTTGGCAGAAGGTAGCTATAGTTAATGGCTTTTCTAATCAGTGCTCGAATGGGAAAGAAACACATTTGTTATTTGGTCTTCGTTCATTTATTATCATTGGCCGTTGACAAATCAGCATAAAATCTGCTTACTTCGGCATTTGTCTATCCACACTTTCCAACTGCAATGCTGTCCGATGACTCGAAAAAGGTGTTTTGTCCGTATTAAACTTCTAAAATAAGCTTCGATTGTTATTGTACCATTAAATGGGCCCATCTACCACGATTAGCTTACGAGGTATTACAAAAGGGAGGAACCAACATTTGCTTCGATGGGAAACGATAAAAAGAGGTTCATAACTTATCCTGTTTGGTGTTTGACATGGGGGCATAGACCAAGCGAAAGTGCCTTTTGGGAAAACGTATGAAAATTATTTGTTTTAAGTTGTATCAGGAGAAGGGAGAATAATTCAAGATATTGATTTTAGGAAGCAGCGAAAAGCCGCTCCCCATGCTCGCGACTCAATTAAAAGAAACACCCATAATGGGATGATGTCTTGTTACGTTAGATGCTATTCAAGTGTTCAAAATGCATTCGGTTTCATATTTGGCACTAAACAGACGCCGTTTTCCTTAACTTCTAGCTAATTCGGTATCGAACTCAACAGCATTTCGAACGACCCTCGGTTGGGGTTTTTTTATGATTTGTTCAATATCTATCTAAATACATTTTATTACTTTTACATTTTCCCGTTCGGGTTTTCAATATCTCATGCGTGCATACCTATTTGGCTCGGAATTCTAAGTGCCTGCCAAAATCAATTTGCTTAAAAGGTACACAAAAAGTTTGACGTGCATTTTTATTTTCCTGTTTATTTTGATGCTGGTTGCTGCCATTCCGTTTTGGCAACTTATTCCAGCTCGCCTCACTCCCCTCTGCCACGTCTTCCGAGAAAAATATGTATGAATATAGGTGACTTCGCTGAGCATGGCTGGAGTATGGAGTATGGACTACTGATGCTTTAGATGTAAAAAAGTAAATATAAATAAAATACTCTATGGAATATCAAATTGCTATAAAATTCTTATGGCACGAAGACCTGGTGATGACGGGGGATGGATGGATGGATGGGTCGTCCAAAATATCAAAATAAATTGGCATGAGAGTTGGCGGTATTGTGTTGGGGGTTGCAGCAAGCAGAACTACGTCTGTTCAAAATTCTCTTTTGTGCCGCTTTTCTATTTGAAATATACATTTGTGCCGTTTCGACGTTGATGCCACAAGTGGGTCACATTTATATTTGATGAGATGTCATCAGAAATGAACAGTCTTCTGATAGACATTAAATGAATGGCAAACATCGAGATAGGCATGTGA